CCTCACCTTCCCTCACCTTCCCTCACCTTCCCTCACCTTCCCTCACCTTCCCTCACCTTCCCTCACCTTCCCTCACCTTCCATCTGGCTGCCAGCCTCACGACTCAGGTGAAAGGGCTTGTTTCCAGATGACCACTGGGCTGTTCGTTGTTGAGTCCTATGCCTTTTCTCAGGCCTTCTCTTTGCAGCATTTGACGGTGTGGTCCACGCCTCCTCTCCATCTGTCTGACCATCCTACTTAGTCCCTTAGCTGGAACATCATCACCCTGTCTTGGGTGGGCGCTTCCCCGAGGGTCAGTCCTGGGACCGCTTCATAGCCTTTCTCTAGGTGATCTCCTCAGTTCCTCTGGGTTCAGTTACCTCCATGCATATGACCCCCAGATCTTAATATCAAGCCCTTACATCTCTCCTAGATTCCAGCCCCACACCTTAAAGCATTGTATAAATGTGGCTATTATTGTGTGAATATGGAACCTATAGACCCCCTCTTATATTAGTGTATGAGAAAAACATAATTGAGTAGCATTTTATTCCCAGGACGAGGTTCCTTTTGTGCACGAGACATGGGGCTAACATTTTCTAGCCTGTGATCGTTTCTTCTGTGCCAGGACTTCCTTGCTCTGCATAGCACCCGGTGATATTGTGAGCCTGGGTGGCAGAACTGGGGTTTAGACGCTTGGATCTCCTTTTACCCACAGGCAGGGTTAGAAAAAGCCTGTGGGGAATTTGCACCAGAGAGTGTGCTGGGTGCTAGAGATGTGGTGTGTGGTTTTCAGTTTTAGCCTCCTTCAGTCCAGGGAGTATTTCTTCTGCCTAAGTATCAATAGGTCTAGCTTGGAGAGAGAGAGAGGGAAGTTACTTTGCCAGTTGGCATTCCCATCCCAAACCTCCAGCTCTGTATCCATTCTTTTCTTGAAAAATCTAATCCCTTTTTTCTTTCCTCTCTCATGTCCTCCTGGTGGAACAGACCATCGATGCATCTCAAAGCATAGAAGACTTGCACAAGGAGATTTACTCCCTTTCTGAAGAGACCATTCAAATGGCTCGAGATACTCCCATTGGAGAGTTGTGGAAATAGGGCCAGGCTGGCCAGCTCTCTGTGCTCAGCAGGATGGCAGGGAGTGCCTCGGCTCAGCCCACCGGAAGAAAATGCTGATGTCTGAGAACTTAAAAAGGACCATTGGATGGCTGTGGGTTACATCAGGAGACCTGACCTGGACATTCTTAATCTGGGCTGAGGTCGCAGCCCTCCTGAATAAGGTGTGAAGATAATGGACCAGAACCGCTTTTCAGGGCAGTGGACAGGAAACATGTTTCTGCTGAGCCAGAAGAGTGATTTAAGATTTCTTCCCAATTCTGGGATTAGAGAAAACGCATTCTCCTTCCTTTTTAGCCCTTTCAGTTTCCCTTCTCGGCCTTGTTTCAAGTGGAATCATCGAAGTATTATCAAAATAAATGAATTGTTTGATCTGGTTTCCTCTATTTTAGGATTGACACTAAATTTGAATAATCCTGGATCATCTAGGCTGACTTCAGCCCCAATGTTAACCTGACCTACGTGATGGTACTCTTTTTGAAAAGTTCAACTTGTCTTAACATTCTGTCCCTCTGCCCTTCTTTAAAATACTCTCCATCCTTTGGGGATGGATGAAAACATCCTGCTCTCCAATAGAAACGTATGTTCAGTTGGGAAAATAGCTGTGGGAAGCTTGAGGTTTCCTACGTCTTTTCTTTGGATTCAAAATGTGGAATCTTAAACCCTGAATTTGGATTAGAATGAGAAACACTTGAATGCTGCTATTAGATGGTATTGGTCATGGTCCCTCATCTCCCAGAAGTCAGTTCTTACCCAGTTTTGCCATCAGTAATACACCAGCTGGGTCCAGTTTCTTGAGCAGCCTGAATAAACATAAACTCTAGTGACTTGGAAAGTACCTTCTCCACAAGGCGGGGAAGGCAGCCAACAGGACCTGTTGGGAAGAGTGGGGGACCTGGGTTCCAATCCCACCTCTGACCTTGGGCTGTAAGTAACAGCAGGTCACCTCTGTCTACCTTGGCTTCGGAATGAGGATGAAGCTGTGGTACATGGCTCGGGGCAGTCCTCATAACTTAGAGGACTCCAGAAATGTCGGTTTCTGTTACAAATGCTTGTTAATTATTGGGGATGGAAATGGTGTAACTCCTAAGTTTGCCAGGTTGAAAACATCACCATGAAATAAAGGCTCCGTTTGGTATTTGGTCGAGATCAAAGATTATGTCTGGATGTTTCTGCAGGGTTAGGGAGAAGAGAAATCAGAGGTGGGCAGGCAGTAGATGCTCAATCTGAGTCATTTCCTGTTGCCTTTTTTTTTTTAAGAGATGCTGTGACTAGCATTCAGCAGAAAGGCCACCCCCCCCCCCCCATGCTGTGGCCATAGACTTCAGTGGTTGACCTGTAAGCTGGCATCACAGGGGCACATGGTTCCATGTGGCAACTTTGGGAGAACTGTTCATCTGGCAGCTTTTGGTGAGGAGGGTTGGTACTCCCCTCCTCCACCCCTGAACCTCCTGATTGTTATTTACATCTACCCTAAACTAAGGCTGGCATCTGCTTATTCTGCCCGAGTATGAAAGACCCTCTCATTAGCTCTGGGTAGAAGACCCCTAGGAAAGCTACGGGAAAGCGAGGAAGGAATTGGCTGGAGTCAGTGGATACATGATCAGCGCAGGGAGTAAGCCCAGAGCCGCCTGCTCTGAGCCTCAGTTTGCGGATGAGGAAACTAAGTCCCAGGGGGAAGGATAAAGTGGCTCTTTTTCTTTATGGCTGACAAGGGATCCCTTTTTCAACCATCTGCTTGTTGCAGTTTATGACGTGCACACTATGTAATTGTGGAGATCTCCCTACTTTGGTAGAGATGAAAACACCCATGGCAGAATTGGACGTTGCATTCACCACACCTGCTTGACACGGGAGCGGTTAGCCTACTAAGTCACTCTGCTATCTGAGGGGGGTGGGGATGGGGGAATCTGAAGCTTGATCTTTTAGCTAATGGTCTCAGGAATGAGCATATTTTTAGATTTTAGGAGTTGGCCTGCTAACGCGGGCCACTACCACCCCCAGAAAGAACCTCTAAATTGATGTCCCTGGGACAATTATGCCAATCCTGGGCCACGTAGGACTGGTAACCAGAATCTGAGATCCCAAGCATCTTCAAATGAAAATTCTCCCACTCTTGGGTGCAAACCTCATGTATTTGTTAAATTTAAAGGGAACGTGGAAGGAATCCTGGAAGCTAGGAGAACCAGTTCCAGGGGGTGAGCCAGGGCTGACTCGGTCCCCTCTTCTAGCAGGTGCACATCTCCATTCTGATGCTGCGCTTCATCTTTGGCACCTGCCGGACCTGCCAGGACAGGTAAAGTGCCCAGTGCCCATGGAAGGCTTACGTGAGGGTGAGAAGGAGGTTAATCCCACTATCTTTCGGCTCACAGATCTGAACCATCCATTATGCTGCAGCTACATTCGGGAGATACGGTTTCAAGGATGAAATAAATTCCATAGCCTTTTACCTTTTTTCTTCCTCATGTTTTGTTTTGTTTTGTTTTTTTAGGCAGTTGGGGTTAAGTGACTTGCCCAGGGTCACACAGCTAGTAAGTGTGAAGTGTTTGGTCTGAGGACGGATTTGAACTCAGGTCCTTCTGACTCCAGGGCCGTGCTCTATCCACTGCGCCACCGAGCTGCCCCCTCCCTCATGTTTTTAAAGAAAAAAGAAACTAGAGTGGTTTCGAAGTTTGACAACAGATCCTTCCCACCCTTTTAGATAAGTTTTCCTTTCTTGTTCTTTCTGGTCCCCAAGTGCTAGTGTATCATTGCTGTAGTCATTGTTGCCTTTATTTTCATAAGTGCCATTGTTCTGACCCCTCAGGCATCCCTCTCTACCAGCTTTGGTCCTTGTTTGGTTTGAAGCCAGGAAACCTTCCCAGGTAATCACTCGTGTTTCCTTTGTCCAGTATTTGGACTTTGCCTCCTCTGCTGTCTTAATCACCAATTATAAACCTGAAATACAAGAATTTTCCTTTGGGATTCCCTTCTAGACCAACCCTTTCTACCCCACCCCACCCCCCATGCCATGAGTGTTTATAGGTCATTTATTAAAAAGCTCCAAAGCTGGCTTCAGCCTATGACCAAAGCAAGTGAATGCACTCCCAGGTCCTGAAACAGCTGTAGGACTTGCGCTTGAGCTCTGACCACTGCACAGTCCTGCTAAAGAAAGGGAGGAACCACCATCTTGCTTTGAGAATAGGAGGCAAGTGGGGCAGCTAGGTGGTGCAGTGGACAGAGCACCGGCCCTGAAGTCTGGAGGACCTGAGTTCAGATCCAGCCTCAGACCAAACACTTGACACTTACTAGCTGTGTGACCCTGGGCAAGTCACTTAACCCCAATTGCCCAAATAAATAAAATCATTTTAAAAAGGGGGGGGTACAGAAATCCATCCTGCCCTACAGGAAAATGGAAGGGGAAGGTGATAAGAGAAGCAGGGGAGAGATAGAAGGGAAGGCAGACTAGGGGAAGGGGTATTCAGAATGCATGCCATCTTGGGGTGGGGGGAGGGGCGAGATGGGGTGAAAATTTGGAACTCAAAATCATGTGGAAGTAAATGTTGAAAACAAAAAAATAAATAAAAATTACAATGAAACAAAAAACAGAGAGAATAGGAGGCAAGCTTCCTAAGACACACCTTTGGATGGGGCTGTGCCCAAAGAAACCATGACCTTACCTGCTTCCAGGTTATGGGTTAAGCTTTCTATTGAATTCACATTGAAAGCATAGGCCTAGACAGTAATAACAAAGAGGGAGCATCTTGGTGGCCACCACCAGGAAATTGGCTGGCACCAGCTGGAGACTGCGATGTTCACAGATGCCTCTAATATCTGTTAGAGGCATACTAGAGGCCCTGATCTCTAACAGGGCAAGACAATGAAACAGAAGCATAGCCCCTCACACCGTTATAAAATGAGATCAGTTGTTTTTATTTGTATTCTTATTACAAATTAAGTACCAAGTAGCTTAATTCCAAACACTCTGAAGAGTGAATTGACGCTCTTTTCAGAAAGGGAGAGCGCGAAAGTTTTATTTTGTGCAGGAAGTTGCTAGTACATGTAGAGCTTTGGCTTCAGTCTACGGTAATTGGGTTAAGAACTCCTCATAGGGTTATTGAAATAAAAGCACTGATGAAGCCCAGGCCTGGGGAAAGTGGGGTGGGTGCGAGCAAAGAGTCATGGCCCACAAAAACCTGTCTAATTAGCATGGTCAGTAAGGCAGACATACTGGAGTAGGTGGGGTGGGGTCTTTGAAATCATCCAATTAGCTGTCTGATGGTTGAACGGCAATTCTCTTTTCCCATGTCAGGATGAACAGAGAACAGAAAGTCTTCCTTTAAGACAAATGTCTGAAAGACACAGATGTCCAAGTCATACCAGGGTTACACTAATCAGTGTTTGTTTCAATCATTAATAACCTCTTAAAGTGACAGAGTGAGAGGTGAGGCCTTCCTAACGACCCCAGCCAGGACTCACTCGTTGCTGAAACTGAAGGAAAGCTGGTCTCCATCCATGGACTTCTTCAAGGGAATTCAACCTGGACATCAATGCAGCCACTTCTAATGTCTGTGCCTATGTGTTAGCTCAGTTATGGGAGTAGTTTTTTGGGGAAAAGGCCCTGAGGAGATGAACAAGAATATGGTTTCTAAGGAAGTGGGCACAAGTGGATCAACCACTGAACCCTTGGCCTTTACTCATCACCCACTCAGAAACAGACTCTAACATTTGTCTTTGCTTCACTTGCTCAGCAGAGTTCTTGGTTCTGGTGACTGGATCCACAACCAGAGGGGAGAAGTAGTTGCTTTGGGGCCATTTCTGTTAGCCCATTTCCAGTAAGCCTTGTTCTGCTTCCTTCTTTAATCGATTCTCCCCATTCTCCCATGGTGCTATGCCCAGCAATGCATGTGTGGTCCTTGCTGGAAAGGAAACACTCTTCCAAGTCCCTGAGATGGGTTGCCCACTGGCACTGAAAGTGCCCAAGTTGGTAGTGCCTCCATGTCACAGACCTTTCTAGGGCTTCTCTCTTAGAAAACATATGTCTCAAGAATACCCATTCAAGATGACTACCACTTGCCTAAAAAAAAAAAAAAAAGGCTTTGCCAGTGAATAACACCATCATCTGAAAGATCAATGAGTTCCATGAATTAGGATGTCTTTAAAAATAAGATGAATTTGTATATCCATGATTCAAATAAAATGTAAAATATAGCCTTTTTTTGGGGGGTGGGACAAGGGCTAATTTGGAATGTTACAGGAGATTGATGCTCCTGGGAACTTCAGTTAAACTCAGTTAAGAAAACTTTATGCAAAGAACCCTACTTCCTAACACCTTTATTAAAATGTGAAGATCAGATCTGAGAATGTCAGGAATAACCAGACTTCTCCAAGAATCAGAGTATTGTTTGCTTAGCACAATGCCTCGCACCCAGTAAATGCTTAACAAATGCTTTATCTACATGAACTAACTCATGTTAACTACATCAAAAGATTTTATAGTGCCTTGTAATGTCACCATGACATGTTATTCATGTTTATATAAGCATGTGTAAAATGAGCTTGTTGGACACAGAACGCTGGCTAAGAGTTTGTCACCTGAAAATTTCTATTCACCTGCCTTCCTGTGCTTTGAAAATGTAATTTCTGATGCTGTCAATGACCCTGAGCCACCAGGGAGAAGATCGACGCTTTGTCAACGCAAGATAACATTGTCCGTGGTTGGTTCTAGTGTCGACGCACTTGAGTCTCGACCACTGTTTGATTCACGTGTGCTCTAACTGATGTCTGGTACAGTTCAGTTTAATTCCAGGCATCTCTCAGCCCTCTTGTCTTCCCAGGGTTTACCACCTAAGTCCAATATACTTATCTCTCCAGAAAATGGCATTCAATATTGGGCTTTCCTCTTCAGGTCTGCAGATAGCCCTCGTTTGGACGTCCGGACCATCCCTCAAGGATCCTCATGACTGTGGGCTTTTTCTCAATAAAGGCCACGCCTGAGTCATCCTGGCTCCTTCTGCCTCTCAGAGTAACCAAAGCAGCTTTCAGCTCAAGACTCAGTAAAACTTCCATTGTAGTCAAGCTCTAACACTGAGGCAAGCTTTACCCACAAAAGTGGAACCCGTTCTTAAAGGGTTAGCTTCCTAGGCTGGAGTTGAGGCTTTTTGGTGTTGGTAGT